CCCCCCCCCCAGAGCACCAGCAGCTCCCCCTGCAGCCGAGCCCCCAGGCCGCAGAACAGGAGGCCCCTGGACCCCAGGCAGGCTTGGGCCAGGGCCAGGGCCAGGGCCAGGGCTGCCCTTCCTTGCCCAAGGCCTCCCCGCCCTGGCCGGCCTACCTCCCCCGGAGTGGTGCTCCGGCCCTGCTGGGATACCGGGCTCCCTCCAGTGCCTGCCTGGCTGACCTGACTAGGCCGAGTGTGGGGCAGCTGCAGAAGCTGAGAGGAGTTTGCCTGAGTTATGGGGTGAGGACCAGGGCCAGGGCCAGGGCCAGGGCTGCCCTTCCTTGCCCAAGGCCTCCCCGCCCTGGCCGGCCTACCTCCCCCGGAGTGGTGCTCCGGCCCTGCTGGGATACCGGGCTCCCTCCAGTGCCTGCCTGGCTGACCTGACTAGGCCGAGTGTGGGGCAGCTGCAGAAGCTGAGAGGAGTTTGCCTGAGTTATGGGGTGAGGATGCAGAAGACTCAACCAGCGACCTCCCTGCATCCCCCCAGCAGCAGGAGACTGTCCAGGATTCTGAACCCCCAGGCTCCTCTGGGACCCACTGGGGAGGGGGGGCAGGACCCAGCAGGGTCTCTGGCAGCTCAGGGTTCTCCCCTGCCCCCAGAGGACTGACTGATGCCAGCTGGTGGAGTGAGGCCCCAGCCAGCCCTTTGTCCAAGCCTGCTGGAGCTAGCACTGCCATGAAAGGGGCCAAGTCTGCCTGCAACCCAGGGGCACTGAGCTCTGGGCTGGGTGCCCCACAGCTTGGGCCCAGGTGCAAGGTCTCCTGCAGCTGGGAGGGCAGAGGGCTCCTGGGGCAGGAGGGGCTCCCATGGCCAGGCACCAGCTGGGATGTTTTGACAAGAAGGCCCGCACTGGCTGGGGCCCAGCCCAGCCCTTAGCACGCCCAGGGCAGCCACCCTGCACTGCTGCTCTTGCCTTGCCAGCCTCCGGGTGAGTTTAGCTGCCAGGAATGGTGCCTGGGGCTGCCGAGAGCCACAGCAGCTGCCACCCTGCCCCCGGCCTGTGCCTCGAGCGCACGGTGAAGCTCAGCCTGGCATGGGGCTAAGCCTCAGGAACCCTACAGCGGGCGTGGGCATGTGCTGAGTGCTCCAGCCTCTGCCACCCTGCCCCCGGCCTGTGCCTCGAGCGCACGGTGAAGCTCAGCCTGGCATGGGGCTAAGCCTCAGGAACCCTACAGCGGGCGTGGGCATGTGCTGAGTGCTCGTGCCTCACAGCAAGGGGCTGCAGCATGGGCCAGCTGCTTGAGCCCAAGCTCAATGCTCTGCAGCCATTTAGGAGCCTGACCTGCCCCTCCTGCCGGCTGGCCAGGCCCAACACCCAAGGCCAGCATAGGCCCAGCTAGCTGCAGGCAACTGAGGCATAGCAGCCTGGAGCCCCTGGGATGGGGACACCCCATAAACCACTTCTACATTAGCAGTCTCCAGCGGTGGGCAGCTGAGCCCAGAGGCGGGGA